TCTCTTCTATTCATGCTTTCAGGTCTTTTTTCAATCTCTATGGCTTCTCTGATAATTCTGTGGCTGGGGTTTTCTATGTTGGCTAGGGTTTTGGTGCCATTGAAGTTGATGCTATGACCTGTGGCTTTCATGTGTTGGACTAGTGAGAAAGTGTGTTCCAGCTTTTTCACTGCATTTTTGTGTTCATCCAGGCAGGTACTTATTCTTCTATTGGTCTGTCCAATGTATAACACACACACACACACGTGTGTGTGTGTGTGTGTGTGTGTGTGTGTGTGTGTGTGTATCTTTGGTTATTTGGGTTTTCTCCCATGTAAAATTGGAAGTATTTTGGCGATGTTTCAACGAAATCCCATTCGTCATCTTCAGGCTTGTATCTTCGGCTTTGTGCTTCTTGGAGTAATGTGAGCTTGCAGCTGTTTTTTCTTTTAACTGCCAGTGGGAGTGCAACTTGACTGGGTGGGGGCTTGGCTGTGTTCTGATTGGGTGGGTGGGTGTTCTCATTGGTTGGGGGCCTGGCTGTGATCTGATTGGTTGGGAGGTTGGCTGTGTTCTGATTGGCTGAGGGTGTGTTCTGTTCAGGTGGGGGCTTGGCTATGTTCAGGTTAGTCTTAGTTGTTGGGGGATTTGAGCTGGTGAGCTGTGATCCTGGTTTTTGGCTTCGCATTTGTGGTCGTGCCACATCTTCATGGTTGGGCATCAGTTCGCTTCATGTATGGGTCGGAGGGATTTGAAGCAGGTAGTGATGCAGCTGCAGTACAGCTTCTGGTCCGTGGTCATGTCTCATCTTCTGTGTGGGTGTGAATCTGCTTTCTACATGGAAGTGTGGTGGTAGCATCTTGTGTGGCCTTCATGGGTGTTGGTCTAGTGTCATTCTTCATGTTAGGTACTCGTTTGTTAATGAGGGTGGGTTTCCAAATGGCTGGTAGGTGGGAGGTATCATCTTGTTTATTCATACTGTGTGGGCGTTTTTCTATCTCTATGGCTTCTCTGATTATTCTGTTGTTGAAGTGTTCAGTTTTGGCGATAGTTCTGGTATTTTTAAAGTCAATCTCATGTCCTGTGGCTTTGAGGTGCTGGACCAGGGAAGAGGTCGGTTCTTCTTTTTTGATTGAGTTCTTGTGTTCTTCTGTTGGTTTGTCCGATGTATGTGTTGGGCAGGCGGTGCATGGGATTTTGCATACTCCTTGGTTTTCTAACTCAATTCTGTCTCTAGGGTTTTTTAGGATGGTGGATATTTTTCTGTTTGTGCAGAATGCTGTCTTAATGTTGTGTTTTTGGAGAATTTTGCTGATTTTATCTATGGTGCCTTTGATGTAGGGGGGAAGGGCGATACTGTTGTCCTGTTCTGTGTCTCGATTTCTGGGGGGTGTTTCCCTTAGGGTTAGGTTCGTAATTGTGCTTCTTTGAAATTCCTTGGAAATTAATACGTTAGTGAGGGTGTGTAATTCTGTTCTCAGGTGGTCTTTGTTGGCTAGGCACTTGCTTCTGGAGATAAGGGTCTTGGCTACAGTGTTGATCTGTGCAGGGCGGTGATGGGATTGTGCGTTTAAGTAGCAGTATGTTTTCTTCCAGTGGATGGTGTGTCCTAGGAAGCCATTGGGTTTTTTGTAAATTAGGACGTCCAGCAAGGGAAGTTGGTTGTTGACTTCTGTTCCCATGTTGAATTGTATTTTGGGGTGTAGGCTATTGAAGTATGTGAGGAAGTTGTCCAGTTTTTCTTTCCCGCATGGCCAAATTACGAAAGTGTCCTCTCCATATCTAAGCCAGAGTTTGGGTTTGTGTTCAGATTTGTCTAGAGCATTGGTTTCAAAGTGTTCCATGTATAGGTTAGTGATGATGGTTGAGAGGGGTGATCCCATAGGTGCTCCTTCTATCTGTTTGTATCTTTGTCCACTGTAGATGAAGTATGTGTTGATTAGGCAGTGGTTGGTCAGATCTAGGATGTGCTTAGGGGGGTTGTATTTGTTTTGGATGGCTGTCAAGGATTCTTTAATAGTTACTTGGGTGAAGAGGGATATGACATTGAAGCTCATGAGTAGGTTGCCGGGTTGTAGGTTTTGTTTCTTTATTGTTTCTATGAAGTGGAAAGAGTTTTGTACATGTGAGGTGATGGATTCTGTGTAGGGCTGGAGTTGTTTGGTGAGAAATTTGGCAAGATTCTATAGAGGTGAGCCTATGGAGCTGACTATGGGTCAGTGTGGTCTTCCTTCTTTGTGTATCTTGGGGAGGCCATAGAGTTTAGGGCATCTGGATGATTTTTTTCTGGAGATGATTCTTTGCTTGATCTCTTCACTGATGGGGGAGGCTTTTATTTTGGATTTGATGGTTTTTCCAGGTAGGTGGTGGGGTCGGTATTTAAAGGTTTGTAAGCAGGGTCTTGGAGTAGGTTGGATAGTTTGGGTTGGTAGTCCAATGTGTTCATCACGACCGTGGCATTGCCTTTGTCTGCTGGGAGAATGATGATGTTGTTGTCTTTCCTCAAGTTGGTGAGTGCTTTTTTGTTTTTCTCTGTGTAAGTTGCTTCTGGGTGGACTGCTGAAGCAGAGGACCTTGGTGACTTCAAGTCTGATTTTATTAGCTACATCTGGGTTAATTTTGGTTAGGCTAGCTTCAACTCCGCATATAATGTTTTCGGTGGGGATGCGTTTGGGGGCAACTGCAAAGTTGAATCCCTTGGAAAGGACATTGGTTTCTGCTCTGGTGGGGGTTCTGTCTGATATGTTGTATACTGTTTATTTCATGCGTTGTTGTGGGAGGGGATTGGGCTTCTGGTGTTTCTCTAGTCTGTGGAGTTTGCTGGTGTGGTGTCTGTCTTGTAGGAGGTTTCTGTTTCAGCTCTCCAGAGGGCTAGTTGTTTGGATTTGTCCCAGAGTGCTGGGTGGATTTTGTTGCTGAGTTTGAGGTGGAGAGTAAGTTGGTCCCTGTTGGTTTGGTCTAAGGGGAGAGTAAGTAGGCCCCTGTTAGTTTGGTCTAACCACAGGACATGAAATTAATTTTGAGGGAACCAAATTAATTTCCAATACTGAATACTTCAATAAGAGAATAATCAGAGAAGCCATTGAAATAGAGAAACACCCCCATAACATGAATAAATGGGACGATGCCTCCTGCCTACCAGACATCTGGAAACTAGCCCTTATCAACAAATGAGTCCCAGCCACGAAAACCAACACTGGACCCAAAACAACACATGACACCACCACCATTCTTCCTCAGCAGACTCAAACCCAAACCCATCCCTAGATGAAAGACAACCACTGTCCAGAAACCACACCACAGCTGCATCACCAGCTGCCACACACCCTGACCCCCAAACCAAGCAAACGGACACACACCATGAACACATATCCAGGCCTCAAACTCGGAGCCAAACCAAAACCCAGAATGTCACATCACAGCCAACCAGCTCAGGATACTACATCACAGAACTCAGGAGGTTACACCACAAAACCTCAGGATGTTGCAACATAGCCAATGACCCAGGAGATTACAGCACAAGACCCAGGATGCCCCAACAATAGAACTCAGAAGGTCATCACACAGCCCATGACCCAGGTCATTACAACTCAGGAGATTACAGCACAAGATCCAGGATGTCAAAACAATAGAACTCAGAAGGTTGTCACACAGCCCATTACCCAGGTCGTTACAACACAGGAGGCTGATAAACACACAGCCAATACCTCAGCTACACATGTTCTTATGAAAAAGAACATGAAGAAATGACAACATAGCCAACCTCCCCACCAATATATACAGGGAGACGGCAGCTCCAATCATGCTTTGCTCACACAAGCATGAAACCGAAAGCACCAGCCTGAAGATGGTGAGTGAGACCTTGTCACAAAGTTACCAAGATACTCTCAATCTTACATGGGAAAAGACCCAAACACACAAAGACCTGCATATATATATGCAGGTCTACTAAGATGTTTATTGAAAAACTGCTAATAGGGAATAAAAGAGATTAAAAGAACTTTGGTCTGAAGACGTCTATTCCTGAAAATGGAAAAAGAGAAATGATTGAAAATTGTGTATTCTATGCATATTTGTCAAAAGCCATTCATTTGTTTATTCTAGATAGGAAAAATACAAGTCTCTGTGATGGGTAGCCATGGGTTTGGTTTGATAGCTAGGAAGTCTTGAACTCAGAAAATTATCTAATATTAAATATATGTAAAAAATATCCCAAGAGGCCTTGAGAGACCTCTGAAATTGTTTCTAATGATAGAGCAATAGAAGGCTCTAGACATCAATTCTCAATTCTCTGTCCTTTTCTGTAACTTCAATTTACTGCTGGTATGAATATTTATTCTGTTCTGATTATGCTGATGTTGAATAACTTTTTCAAGATTTGACATCCCATAAATATGAATAAATACATAGCTGGAAATGAGTTTGCATAAACATTTATGGAGTACAATTTCCTGCAATTCATCTTCCTCTTGCCTCAACAACAACATGCTTGTTTGCAATATTTTGGTCCCAGCTTTGCTAAGTTCAGATCAAATTAACTAACTGCTCCACTGTCTTGATTTGAAAACTTCTCCACACACACTTCTTGCTGTAAACAAAAGTAGACTGTCTCCCATTGTTTTATCTACTATAGAAAAATTCCAGATTCTACTGTTCAGATTTATAGGTCGGAGGAGTGGGATAAGAACAAGGATGGTGGTTGATTGATGCTCTCAAGCTGAAGTGCTTGGCAGAATAGAGAGATAGTTCAAGGCAGAGTAGAAGGTGGAGCTTCTACAATGGAAAAAGAGCCAAAAATGGACCCAAATTATTATTTGACATCAGTAGGATATTTGGGGAGTTTTGAGTCAAAGCTGATTTAATTAATCATTTAATAATTAAAATAGAATCTGAATACAATCATGTCAAAATCACACATTAAAAAATAGTCCCTGAACTAGCTATCTAATAAGTCACCCAGAAATAATGGAGAAATTTAATTTTGAGTAGTTTAGATCCTATTGCTTTCAGTGGTACCTTGCCATGGGTAAATTTAGCTGATCACCATCTGATTATTTATTTTTGTTGCGTGGTCTTATTTTGATTCAGTGGAGATGACATCCACATGAATCAGATTGGGGTGGTGTAGGCTTCACAAATCTAGAGTTAATGCTGTGTTAATATTCAGACATTCCAGTCCTCCTGACAATGCAGAACAGATTGATATTTGCATTATACACTGAAAAGTCAATAAATACTACCCTTTTGCCTCTGTCAAGCCACAAATTATTCTTAACAACAGCAATCAGGGCAGAGGTCTCTTCTTTGCTTTTTGGAAGATCCTGGTGATAGCCAACTCCACTGTATATGATAATAAATATTTACTTTCTGTATCAAAAACAACTTCAATGTAATACCTATAAATAATCACATTACTCCTGTACATTTGTCTTAAGATCCATACAGTTTCCACCTGATTAAAAAAGAAAAAGAAAAATGGGAAATTATTGTATAGCAAAGCAAAGCTTCAACTGTAGAAGCAATTTTAAATAATTTTGGACCTCACATGGAATATATAGACATCCTAAGAAAATGAAAATTGTCCACAATGCAAAGAGAAATTGGGATAAGGAGATAAGAACACACAGAGAGAACTCTGTCGATGAATAACTTGTAAAGGATCATTACACTAAGTCAATTTATAAATCTCTTCTTTATTTTTCTTTGAATCAGAGATATAATCCTACGCATGACTGCTCAAGATAATCAGATAAGTATAGGTTAGCAACAAATGAATACTTTTTATTTATTTTATTTTATTTGGTTTGTCAATTACTTACAAGATAATAGGTATCAGTAAAAACATAGTTATGAATACATGGATACATATAAGAAAAATAAAAGAAACAATAGGACAGGGACGGTAGGCATGTTGGTGTGCTTGTGCATGCCCCCTACAGACCTCTTAGGAAAGGGGTGAGGTCAATAGTAGAAAGTCTAAGGTTAAAGTTTTTGGGGTTTAGGGAAGAAACCACAGAGTCAGGTAGAGTCAGGTAGAGTATTCCAGACATTGACCACTCTGTTGCTGAAGTCGTATTTCCTACAATCAAGTTTGGTGCGGTTAACCTTGAGTTTGTATCTATTGTTTGCTCTTGCATTGTTATGGTTGAAGCTGAAGTATTCATTGACAGGTAGGACATTGCAATGTATAATTTTATATACCATACTTAGATCGGACTGAAGGTGGCGTAATTCTAGGTCTAGAATTTCAAGTCTGGTGGCATAAGCTATTCTTTAATGAGAAGAGGAGTGGAGCACTCTTCTTGTGAAATATTTCTGGACTTTCTTAACTGTGTTAATATCAGATACGTAATGTGGGATCCAGACTGATGAGCTGTATTCACGTATAGGTCTAGCAAATGTTTTGTATGCTCTAGTTAGTAGTGTAATATTACAAGAGAAAAAGCTACATAAGATTAAGTTAACAACTCAATGCCTTTTTGGCTATGTTGTTACAGTGGGCTCTAGCACTTAGATCATTAGAGATGAGTACTCCAAGGTCCTTGACAGAGTTTGGATCATCAACAAGGTCTTGACTATTCAGCCTGTATTTTATTTTCTGGTTTTTTTTTTTTTTTTTTTGCCAATACGTAAGACAGAGCATTTATTTGTTGAGATTTGAAGTTGGCATTTGTTTGACCATTTTGATACATAGTCAGAGTCTTTTTGAAGGGTAGCAGTATTGTTTGTGGTGTTGAATAGCTTTACATCATCAGCGAAGAGAATGCAGTTGCTCTTAATATGATCACAGAGGTCATTTATGTAGAGTGAAAAGCGCTGGTCCTAGAACACTACCTTGGGGGACACCACTGTTGACAGGCACAGAATGTGATAGGATGCTTCCAATTTTGACCATGCTTCTATCCAGTTATACAGATGTCCAGAGATACCGTAAGATTTTAGTTTTAGGAGTAGTTTGTCATATACCACTGAATCAAAGACTTTACAGAATTCTATATAGATTGAATCTATTGCTTTGCCCTGATCAAGTTGCCCTGATCGAGTCCATATGTTTTTGCAGTGTAAGAGTTGCAGATTGCAGGATAGTTTTTTTCTGAAACCAAATTGTTTATTAGAGAGTAGGTTGTTTGCCTCTAAATGGAGGATAATCGATTGGTTAATAATTGATTCCATGACTTTACAGGTGACGCAGCATAAAGAGATTGGTCTGTAATTTTCAACTAGGCTGGGGTCTCCCTTTTTGAAGATGGGGATGACCGTGGCTTGTGACCATAGGTTAGGCAAGGAGCTGGTCCTGAAAGATTTTTCAAAGATTATGCTTAGAGGTTCGGCTTAGAGGTTCAATATTGTCTACTGTAAAATTGATATGTATTAGATCATTGTAGTTGTCTGTGGTTCGACTAGAAAATCCTGGGCATGATCCATTGCTGTTTACAAATACTGAGCCAAAGAATGTGTTAAAGAGGTTGGCTTTTATGGTATCATCATTGCAGTCTTTACCATTAGGTCCTTTCAGGGGTGGGAAGGAGCTTGAGTCTTTTAGTTTGTTGTTTACAAAATTGTAGAAAGTGTGGGTGGAATTGGTGCATAGAAGGTTTTTCTCTTGTTTAATGTGATAATTGGTGCATTCAGTCTTTATCTGTGGCATAAATATTTGTATTGGCTTTTGAAGTTGGCAAAGTGACCAGATTTGTTTTTCCACCAAAGTGATCTCTTTTTGGATTGAAGCTTCCTTATTGTTATGGGTAATCTGTTTTTTCTGGTTTTGGGAGTTGTTATTGGTACATACAGTTTGGTGACTCTTTTGACTTCAAGTAAAAATATTTTGTAATGGTCTTCAACAGTATTGCATCCAGTGAATAGAAATTGCCAATCAAGGGATGAGAGATCGTTGTTTATAAGATCATAGTTGCCTTTTCTGAAGTTATAATTGGAGATCACATTATTGTGTTGATTTTTGTGCGGACGTATGTTGAGACAAAAGTCAATCATGCTGTGGTCACTGTTGGAAAAGTGTTCTTTAATTTGTATTCCATAAATTGAATTCAAACTATTGCAGAAGATGAGATCGAGGCATTTGTTAAGTCTAGTATTGTTGGTTACTAGTTGTTTCAGTCGCAGGTTTGTTACAGTGTTGTAGAAGGTTGCATATATGGGTTCAGTTTTACATTCGTTTAGCATCTAGGTTCTGATTATGTTCCATTCTTTTATATAAGCTTTGTTTAAATACCTGAAATCCATCCTAAATTCTGGTTTTGATTTATTAAGGTTAAGAATTGTTTTTTTTATGTAACTTAATACTTCGAGAATACATCTGCTAATAATCTTATATACACTGGCAATAATTTTAGAAAAAAAATATTATTTATGAAGGACAAAGGTACGAACCATTTATTTCAAGCAATATCTTTAATACTGGTTAATGAGAAGTTAGTAGAAAGGGGGAGAGAGAGAGAGCATTGTAGTTTTAATAGTCAGAAACCTCATCCCTTCACATACATGGATTTTAACCTGGATTCCATTTAGCATGGCTACATGATATGCATGTAATACTTACATAATATATAATATGACAGTTTTTCTTGAATAATTGCAGAAAATTCCACAACTTCATGATTATATTATATTGGGAAAACATCACTAAAATCTCTAAGTGGCTCTGCATGGAAGGCACGGAAGGCTATAGCAGTCTGAAATAGTTCCTGTAGCCACTATGGAATTCTCATAAAATATGATGTTTCAATTATTCAAAAAGTTGTTCTTTATTTGCAGGAGTCGGAATATGAGCACAGTCATAGAGCTAGAGTCTCACCCACCTTTTATGAATGTTACAAATATTTTTAAAAAGAAATAGGGATTGGGTAGTGTGGTTATGCCTGCCATGTTGCCTTTTTTTACGTACTCCTGCAAAACACCTATATTCCTAATAGGAGATTTTCAATATAATTTGTTTACACAATTGTTGACAGGAGAACTTACATGACTAAAATGTGTATTTTGATAGCGTTGGCTAAAGTACAGGACATGTTATAATTATACATATTACAGAGGACCATGTTTTTACACGATTGAAATTATTGCTTTGTCAACCATGTACCTACTTTTTTTTGTACAAGTCACCATGAAAAGAGGATCCCATTGAAAGAATCTTAAGAACTCATCACATGAAACAATTTATGTATACCTGATGTGATTTGGAACACAATTGTTTAGTTTGGGCATGATTATAATTGTACATAATTAAATTTATAAGCTAAATAAATGTTAAATAAAAGTTAGAAAGTTTACCTGAAGTGGCCACTAGCTTTTTCAGACCCCAAACCATGACAATTACTTGCACTGGGAGTATAGGTGTCTTCACAATCATCTTCACTAGTAATTATATTCTTCCCTTATGGGAAATGTACCATTTCAGAGCCATTAAAGTTTGTGAACTTGCTAGACTAGTGAACAGTGAAACCAGAGATGTTGGCTTGTTGACCAGTAAACTGACCTGGGAAAGGGGGAAGGCCCTGATGTGTTAGAGATAAAATGTCTTTTCATTTCTGTGTGACTGATAAAAAAAAAAAGAGAAATATGAGATAGCAGTCATTGCAACAATGGAGTAAGAAAAAGAACACTTGATGTTGGTGATATAATGCAGATGCGGCCTTGCCTGATAGATCAAGCCCTGGCAAGCTGCTCTCAATTAAAAGGGCAACAGAATATATTCTTTGAATATATTCTTGATTATCTTCGATAATATTTTCTAAGCCATACCATCTTCTTGCAAGTGGTTATTTACCTGTTGGATACCATTTTAGTAGAGCTGGCTTTTTGAACGTCCATGCCAATTCCACACAGTAGGCAAAGTTCTGAATTCTACCCTAACTTTAGCTATTTTTGTCATTCCATGTCTCTATAAATCAAGCATATTGTATCTGCAGTGTTTGTAGGCAGGGCAAACTATAAAATAGTGATTTTATAGTTTGCCCTGTATATGTATATCATTTTTAAAAAAAATTTTTTTTGATGTTATAAAGTAATAATAGACATTCTTAAAGCTTTTGTCAAATATTCTTTTTTTCTTTTTAAATAAAAGGACACTCCTGGCCTGAAATTTGCTTGGAATGTATACTCTACAATTGTGTGGATTGATCTAGCCAGAGGGAAAATGTAAGATGTCAGAGACGGTGCATTTAAAAGCAAATAAGATTTTTCTGCCAATTTCTATGTCTGTCCACAATTATGTCTGGAAATATTTCTGAAAAGAGGGCGAGACTCAGTAAATATAACAGGTTTCCCAAAATGTTCAGAATGTACAATAATTAATGATGACATATTTTGAACTCCTCCTTGGAGTATTCAGTTGGCAAGCAAAAGACTTGAGAGGTCTTTCTGTTGTAAATTGCCAGTGTTGTGTGTTTAAAGAAAAGAGGGAAAAAAGCATTTAATTAATTTGGCTAGAAAACAAATTCTTGATTTATTAGAGTTTATTTAGACTGATTCATTTGACTTTTTGAAACTAGAAAGTAAAAAAAGAATGCTATCATATAAGAATAATTACTTTTTCCCTTCATTGTGTTTATTTTACTTTTGAAATAATCACTAATGTCCTGTTTACCTGCTGCATTTGCCAATGTTCCCATATCTTTGCATGATATAAAACCAACTTTAAAAATATAGGGATCTTAATGAAGTTAATAATGAATGAATCAGGCATCCTATCAACTGTTATTCTATGACAATTCAGTTTGTTATTATTTTTTTATCTAGAACACATAGTAGTACATGTCTTCAAATCATAAACCTTTCAATTTGAGATCTGAGGTGAGAATATCAAATATTGGATGTGCAAATTTTCCAACAATTGATATATAAAATATTTTGATACTCAGCAGTTAGAAAATTAAAGTAAATATTCTCATCACAGTTTATATAAAATACACACAAAAGTTGTATTCCAAGTGTTAGCTCATTTTAACTGATATAGAAGAGAAATTCTCCACTTTTGCCTTCGAGATTTAGGTTGTTCCTTTTCAGCTTCATAAGGATGTTTTATTCTGCTTTTATGAAGCTAGATGTAATTATATAAAGAGAATAAGTTGAATTAATGGTTTTTAAAAGAACAGAATTTCAGTAAGTAGCATAAAAATCCCATTAGTTCATGTTTAAAATTGATGTTTTTAAAATGTGATAAGACCAAAATAGCTTTGAACTTTGAATAAATTCCCTGAGGTAGTGGGGCATCACACTCCCATCAGCACTGGTAACTGTATCTTGTTTTTACTCCCCCCCCCCGACTATCAATTATTCATCTGGCAGCATGAGTGTCAATAGTATTTATAAATAAATAAATGGTGGGTCTTTGTCTTGAGATGATTGCTTTTAAATTAGATAATTTTAAGATTAAAGGGGAGATTATATGGAGAAATACATTTCTTTTCCAAACTTCGGGAGCATTGTTAGCAGTGAGTAAAGAAAACTAACACACACGCAACAAAATAGGACCTCTGTGTGTGTGTGCGTGC